TCTCCGCCATACATCCCAAAACTACAACTTTTGGAGGACGTTTGGACTGCGACCTCCCTATTTTAACATTGTCCTTCCATTCCCTCTTAAGAAACCAAAAATAATTAAGCCGCTGCCACACCTTCTGTTCCGCATTGTCCCTGATAGCGCAGGTGTTAATAAAAATAACCTCTGCATTCTCAGGGACATCAACGACTTCACTATACCCAGCATTCTTCATAATAGACAGAACAATCTCCATGTCATTAATATTCATTTGACACCCATAAGTCTCGTGATAGATACGTCCTATCGGAGCAACTTCAGTAGCAGTCAAATTCACATCCCTACACATAAAAAACAGGAAGAAAAATATAAAACCAAAGCTAAGCATGGGATACAGTCTGCACAATATGAAATCCGGGTGTAAGAACATCGAAAGACGTTGATCAAGAGTTGTTGGATTGTCCTTTTATGTTCAACTTTCGTCTATGATCTATCCGGAAAATTTCTCCTACAAACATGGCAAAACATCACAGTAACATTTTGGACCATATGCACTAGCATTGCTCAGATAAAAATTTCAACTTGAACTTGCATCTCTTATAACTCAACAGCCAGCTAATTTTGGATGTTTAAAAAAGCTGCTTCTGTTCGGTCGGTTATACAACAAAGGTCATTACTTTAAACCTTTCCTGAGACAACCCAATTCGAATTATAGCATAATTTCCCCAAAAACTAACAAAATACATTAAAACTAAAAGAATTTACACTGTGTGTGGGTTTGAAGCGTGGACTCACTGGGGCTGAGCTTCAGCACCGGCGAGAGCAGCTTGAGCGACAAAGTGGCGGAGGCTGGGGCCACCGGACTGGCCGGAGAGAGAAGAAGTGTTGGGGCTAAAATTCGAGAAGCTTCTGGAGCTACTGCGGCCAAGACTCCTCCTTTGTGGCCGAGGCTGCAGCTGCTGGCGGCGGTGGTAGCATCGGGAACGGGACTTCTCCGGTCCCCAATTGAGGAACCCGAGAGTGAAGCAGGACGGCCTCTGGAACTTCAGGCGCAGCGCGCAGTGTGGGTTGTTCAGGATCGAGGACAGGGACGACGAGAGCGACGTCGCCATCGGTGAGATTGTGTTCGCGCTTCTCAGCTTCTCTACGTCAGAGAGAGTTGGATAGGGGTAACGATTTACGACTATCAGGAAAGAAACCCGGTAATAGTGTGAGAGACGACATGTCGTTTTTATTTGGGCCGGCCCAATAACGCTTCTCACTAATGTTAACTATGGGAAAATAACACAAATGGCACCTGAACTTTTCGGTTTTCGTGCAATTACCATATGAACTAAATCCTTTTACAATTAAACATTCAAACTCCTTCTTCTGTTATTATTTGCCATCCAAACTTCTGAAAGGAATGCTCCCCGGATCCCTTCCAGCTAAGCTTTCTTATCAAACAATCTGAATCTTTAAAATTTGATCCAACAGCTAAAGACAATGGCTCACTTTAAAAATTATAATAACTTTAGCCGTTGAATCAAATTTTAAGGGTCTGGATTATTTGATGAGAATGATTAGATTGAAGGGATCCGAAGAAGATCCCTTTCCTCAAACTTCTAGCTTTAAAAGAAAAGTCAACTATTTTCATTTCATTTATACTAAATCTCGTCGAATATCTGACATGAATGTGGACATTGATCAAGAGAAACGATGACAATGACGTTAAAAAGTTGTATTCGTTATAATATAGATAATAAAAGTTATTAATTATGGCAAACTTGACACGTTTAAACACCACACGATTCTAAAATCGCACGGTTTAAAACATGATACGATTTCATGGTTACTCTTAGGAATCAACGGTTATGATGAGGAGAGGAAAAGAATACTTGTAGAGGATGTTAAGAATGTTGACTTTCCAAGAATATAATCAGACATTGGAAGATTGATTTCCCAATGGACAAATTATCCGGGAACATTTCCATTAATCAAGGCAGGAATATGCTAACCGTAATTATGTCCATAACTTAGAGGAAAAGCCAACTGATGACTTTACAAATTGGTTTTCTTTACTTGGTAGAAATATTCAAAGATACTGGTCCTTTGGGGTGTTATTAGGAATTGGATCCACTCTGGATTTTAATGTCTGGAGCCTAAAGATCAATCCATCTGGGCAGCTGATTGGTGTGTAAAATAAATCAGAGTTGTTGGTTGTGTGTGGTAGGCTAAGAAAATGAGTTAATTAAGATTATTGGATTCAATTTGTGTGACCCATATTAGTTGATCCTTATGCTCCGGACATTAAGGTCCGGAGCGGATCCAATTCCGTTATATTATATTATTTTAGTGGTAAGGTATTCAGTTTTTATTTGTGCGTCTGAAATTCGAAATCTTTTATCTTCTAAATTATTGTAATAGTTTTGAACTCTTTCATCTCTCATAATATATTAATTGGATATGTTGAAGGATTCCGCACGTTTTACCTAACCTACTCTTACCGACCGTTAGAACTGCGCTAATACGAGTGGCTTAAAGAAACTAAAAGCAGTTATCGAGCATAAAGTTGCCTCAGCTGCCATTTAGTTTTGATTCGGTTTTTACTTCGGCCGACCATGCAGACTCATCGTTACAACAATAGTTTAAAAACCTTAATATTAAAAGAGGTTCAAAGCTCGAACCTTCCAACCGCTGACAATATAGTGGAAGGATCAAATTCTTTACGAAAGTCACTTAAATATTCAACCTAATCCACCTAGTTGGGAAAGTGGAACCTTAGTTCAAAGGTGCAAACTGCCTTTCGGCTTTCACTTTCTGGAGCTCTTCTTTCCAAGCAGTGGCCGACGCATATACTGAAAAAAAAAATAATGAAGGCAAAGTGCTTTTCTTCTCTACTGACGGAAAGTGAAGGCAAATAGAAGGTTCCTACACAAGCATGAACCTATCAAGATGCATAGATTAAGAAGGCATTTACCACTTAGCACTACAATGTCGGATAATTGTTTTAATTTGTAGTGATAAGTTACATGTTGAATTTTTGTAAATAAGTTCAATACTAAGTTATTATAGCTTATTTGTTTTGTGTCTTAACTCAGGTCTCTTACATTTTAGTGTAATTTTATCATTAGAGCATAACAAGGAAGTGTTTGCACTAGCTGTTGTGAATTAAGTTAGTTACCTTTGTATATCCGCTCCTTTGCACTAGAGAATCTTGTGTACAAATGGCGCTCTCAATGTATATAAAACAAAATAAGGAAAACTAATGAAGTGGCTTGAAAAGTTTTAGTTTTAATTAAAAATCATGTTATAAATTTTGTTTAATGATTAGTACAAGGCACATATTAAAGTAGTCCAAGTAAAAATGGCCTAACTATAATAAATTATGATTTGTCGATTTTACCCCTAACTTTTTTAGGTTGAGTTCCAGATTTTCGTCGTTAATGGAGTTCATTGTTGTTTTGCAGACCTTCTTCTTTTTCTTTGAAACAAAATTATAGATCCTCATGCTATTTAATTTATATTTTGTATTATTTCGTTGAAACGTGATTGTCGTTATTATTCATAAAGTATTCGAAGTACTGTTTTTCAATTTTTCTTCGTTAGTGGAGTTCATCGTTTGTTTATTCAGAAAATAAATTTGAGATCTGCAGGTTATTCAATAATAACGACGGGTCACTGTTTCTGGACTGTAAAAATAAACTGTTTCTGGATCCAAATGAAATAGACACACTGTTTCTTAAATGTAAGCTAGAAAAGAAATAGTGAAATTCATTGTATTTGGATTCAAAGCAAAATAAGTATCTTGTTTCTTAAATATAATCAATTGATGCATGAAAAGAAACAATCAAAGGTTAAAACATAGATTGTTTCAAGAATCTAAGTCACTGTTTCTGGATTTTGGATACAATGTTTGTTTGTGCATAAAAACAAACAAACATTGTATCTGTTTTTTTTTTTTATAGAAACAGTGTTATGTTTTGGGTTCTCCAGAAACAGTTTTATGTTTTGGTTTTTTTTTTTCTTTCCTATTTACAGACGCCTGACATGTACGTACATCAACGGGACCGTAGGTCCTTATTGGATCTGATTGGAATATAATACTAGCACTATAAATTGTTTGTGGTGCAGATAAGAGGATGAGGATGAGGACGATGACGAGGAAAAGGAGGATAAGGGCACGAAAAAGGTAGACAATAGTTTTGGATGGTTTTTTATTAAACTTTGAGTCATTTTGGTTAAATAACTTTTTAGGATAGTTTTTTATTAAATATTTGTTGGTCCAAACCCTTTTCATTAAAGCTCCCAACAAAATAAGTTTTTGCGTTTATTTTTATTCATTTTATATCTAGTGGAATTTTACGGTAAGCTCACATAACGATTTGTCATAATAATTACCTATCAAACTTATCGAACTGAATTTGAAGTCTATTCTTTCAACAAGTAAAGAAGGTTAAAACAAGGTTTTTTAGCCAAAACAGTTATTGAGATTGACATAACTTTTCATTTTGGTCACTGAGATTTAAAATCGATACAATTGATTTTTGAGTTTATCTACCGTTAATCATTTTGATCATTCTGTAAACGAAAAATCTCTGTTAAATAAGGAGAAATGACCAAAATATCCTCAATTTTTGTCAAATCATTTTGGCCTATTGTTTATTAAATTAAGGGTATTTTTGTCATATTGTTTGTTCTTTAATATAAAATTTTCACGGAATGACCAAAATAATTGATGATGTACAAACTCAGGAAATACTTGTATCGATTTTAAATCTCAAAATCTAAAGTGAGAAGTTATGCTAATATTAAAGACTATTTTTGCTTCCAAAAAAAAATAAAAAGACCATTTTAGATAAAATGCCAAACAACAATTGGTAGGATCTGAAGTGTCCAAACACTTGAAAAAGTCCGACAACCACCATGACAAAGTCAAAAATAAAAAAACCAAAGAGAGAGGGACGGTGTGATGGTAGACCAAAGAGGCGACGACGTCGTCTACCGAGGCAGCACCTTGGCAAAGATAAAGAATAAAGAAAATATAAAAATAAAGAAAATGGATATGGTGGGGAGCACCCAATACCAGTTGTGAAATCAACCGTGCCCTCCCCCTCCTCTCCCTTTTGTCCCTTTCCCCCTCTCCCTCTCTCGTCAACACCTCCTCCATCCTCACATTCTCTCTCTAAAACTCTCTCTCGACCAATTTCCTTTCCGGAGAAAAGCATGACCAGCTCCTCCGCCTCTGGCCGCAAGGTTTGCCCTAATTTCACACCCAGTCACTTTTTCCGTGCAATTTCTGTTTCTGGGTTTTGATCTTTTTATTGGGTTTTGATTGTTGATTTTGTTGGGTTTTGGAATTTGTAGACTTTGAGTAAGATCGCTTGCAATCGGCTCCAGAAAGAGCTTCTGGAGTGGCAGGTCAATCCTCCGGTGGGCTTCAAGCACAAAGTCACCGATAATCTCCAAAGGTCTTCTCTTTTTTTTCTTCTGCTCTCTGTTTGTTTCTCGAGAAAAGATAATTCATTGGAATTGGAGGAAGAGGAGAATTCAGAATTTACATAATCTTACACTTATTGGGTTTTCAGTTTAAATTACCCCTTTTTGAATTTTTTGTTTAGGGAAATTGAAATCCAACTGTTTAGGGTTTATGATGTGTATTTTTGTCCTTCAATGTTCGTGCTTTTCGGCTTTAGTTAAGTTGGTTCAATTTTAATTGTTGTGTTTTGGTATTTGTGATCCAAAAGGTGGGTGATTGAAGTCAATGGTGCTCCTGGAACTCTCTATTCTAATGAGACCTTTCAGCTTCAGGTTGATTTTCCTGAGCATTACCCGATGGAAGCCCCGCAGGTCTGTGCAAATTCATTAGATTGTGTGATATGACTTTGCTTCAAGATATATGTTACGAACGATATTGTGTTGGGTAGATTTTGATTTTCATGAAGCACTTAACCGGTTTTGGGTCTGTATACTTGTGGCTGGTTTGAACAGGTTATATTTGTCCCTCCAGCTCCACTACATCCTCATATTTATAGCAACGGTCATATTTGTTTAGGTAATTTATGGGTTTCAGTTAAGCGTTTGATATCTGATTTGTATTTAGTTACAGCACGAAAATGTTTCTTTTGCTTGATTTGCTGCATTTGCTCATTTGTTGAAACCTGAAAGTGATACTTGTCTTTATAATGGGCTCACGTCTTCCTTTGTTGCTTCTTCTTGCTTCTTCTTGCTTCTTCTTTCTTTTAACACACAATTTTATTATCATTGCTTAAAACATGTGGTAAGTGTTGCCTGAAAGTATTGTGCTTTTATCTCAATCTCTTGCTGAAAAGATGTAGTTTTCAGCTAGCTGATACAAATTTTGTTTGAGATAATAAGGCCTTCACTCCTTTATCAGCTATTGTGATGACTTTCAAGACCCTATCACAAACAGGGAGGAATAAACTGAGGAAAAGAGAGGAAAAAGTGGGGTGGGGGTTGCCTAGTAAAGCTGGCCTTGGAAATCCTACTGAATGTGATTTATGTTGTCTGTCGACTAAGCTAAATTTATCTTTACTGGAGATTTGAATAATTGCTAGATATTAGATGCTAAACTGGGGACGCTATACCGCTTAACAACAGATTTAGGTTGTCATTACTTACTGTGTGCTGTATCAAACAATATCTTGATCCATCATGAATCCACTGACTGAATTTTAGTTATACTGTATTAGAACAATATATTGTTTCATTTTACTCTCACGGCCTCATATTATGTGATCTATGGTTGATATGGGATTTTGTAGATATTTTGTATGATTCATGGTCACCAGCCATGACTGTTAGTTCCATCTGTATTAGCATTCTCTCCATGCTATCAAGCTCGACCGTGAAGGTTTGTGTTCCACTTCAATTTTTTCATCTTTGGTGATTTCAGTTCTTTTAACTATCAAGCCTAGATCATGTCCCATCAATTTATTCTGCTAAAACTTTCAAACGAGGAAATGACCGATCATTAATTTGTGAAAGATGGACATTCCCTTGTTGATTATCAATTCAATGGTATAGTAGATTCTAAATGTGTTGGGGATGTATATCTGAAGCCCTTTTGTATATGCCTGCAGCAACGCCCAGAAGATAATGACCGGTATGTAAAGAACTGTAGAAATGGCAGATCTCCCAAGGAGACGAGGTGGTGGTTCCATGACGATAAAGTGTAAAAACCATGCACTGTCTTCCTGTTCAAAGGAGGACGAAGACGAGAGAAAAAAGGCAATGATAAAAACTGGGAGTTGTTCCAATTGCTCAGTAACTCTTATAAATTGACAATGCTCGGTACTTGTAAAGCAAAGGGAACAATTTGTGTTTCTATCGATTCGTAAGGAACAAACTGAGGTCAGAAGTTGCTATAAGCTTATGATTTAAGTCCCTTTTCTTCCCAAGTGCTCACCTCCTGTAAGGGAAGTGAGTGCCTGGCTTTTAAAATTTTCGTATATCTTCATCCGTGCAATGCGATTTTCAAGATATAACATTGAAAAAAAGGCATCCAATTTTTCAAATCTAGTGCACGTATGTAAAACTTATCTGTAAACATGACAGCTTCACCAAGTATGTGTTCATGTTGAGTGATTACGTACCGGCAAGCTCAAATGAATGATATCAATTCTAAGAAAATTGTCCCAAACAATTAAGTATTTTAGTTCATCTTTATTTATGACATTGCATATTTTGGTAGTAAGTAAACACGAGTTTTTTTTAACACGGTACAAAAAAATTATAACATCACGATGTGGAGTTCATTTCTATATATGACTGCCCAAGTTGGGATAGAAAATTTTATGAAGGCTTACATCATACAACAATATGAATTGTTAGTCCCTGGTTTCCTAGTTGTTACTTTCATTGAATTGATATACGGCACATCTCCAATTCTTGGTTAAATATGAATTGTTAGTCCCTGGTTTCCTAGTTGTTACTTTCATTGAATTGATATACGGCACATCTCCAATTCTTGGTTAAAACTTAAAATTTTAGGCTTTAAATTAGCTTCTTCAAATGTCTGATCTTGTGCTTGTGTATGTTAGGCTTTGATAAATCTAGCCCCGATTTTGAGAGAATTAACTTAAAAGTCCACATAAAATCTGTAGAAGAAATTGGAACAACAAGACTAATCTAGCTTAGATTTCAAGAGAATTCACTTAAAAGTCGACATGGAATCTGTAGAAGAAATTGGAACAACAAAACGATATTTTCATTTTCTGTGGATGATTCCAAAATATCACTAAGTTGATGATGTTATTTGGAGATATAGTTTGTGCATGATAACACTCCATTTAAAATTTCACAGAATTTTATTCCAATACACCCCTAAGCCTATTTCAAAATGAAACTAAACATATTACTTTAATTCCCTCAAATATCTTACCCGAGAATCTGAACTAAATCTACGACTCAAATATTTTCAAAAATCAAAATTTTTTGTTTGAAAACTTTGTTCTTGTGCATTTGTGGTTAACTATCACGTTAAAATTTCACACAAAAAAGATAAAATTCATGCAAAAAGAAATGAAAGTCGTGTTCATAACAAACTAATTTACTTTCACGTAGTTAGCATGAAATGTAGTGCGCAGTGTAATTTTTGAGGGTAATGAAATATGATAAAAATAATTTCTTCCAATGTAACACAAAGAGAGCGAAAATCCCAATCGTCTTACGGTTCTGGTTTATTTTTCTGGGTAACTCTGGAAGTGAAATTCTATGAATCTCTTTCGTCTTTCAAGGTTTACAATTTGTCTTGAATATGCAAGACTTCGGGGAAAGTTGTTCAATTTAGCACACATTGAGCACAATGCCTTCCAACAACTCGAGAAACGCATCAAACAGTAGCTCCTAGTTGGCTCTCTACCATGATCCTTCAGCGCCCAATGTTGGATTCTCGAACGCAGAGAAACCCCAGAATGTCTTCAAAGAGTAGGGCTGAGAAATTGTTACGCCTTCTTCGGTGATTTTAGCTATCTGCAATTACCAAGTTTAAAATGTGTCATCTTACTGGTACCGATGCATGTTCAAGGGTGACAATAAATTAGTAGGAAGTCCTCAATTTACCAAGGATACTAATTTTTGAACGCAAAGACTTTCCCACCACAGCTATAATCATTTCGAAAAGTGTAAGAAAGTGTGGATATGTGTAGAAATAAAACAATTGTATACTTCCTACCTCAATCTAGAACACTTCCTACGCTAAAAAATGAGCGCAGACAAGGAGGAAGCATACCCCTAGTACTGTAGATTGTCTCACATAACTACAGAATGACAAATCTTTAATAAAAAGAAGTATTTGGACGTGAACACGTGTGTGAAAGACAGAGAGAGATATTGGAACTTACATGGACAATAATAGCAAGGTTTATAAATTCCGAAAAACATCAAAGACGACAGACAGGCGGATTCTATGCCATTTAAAGAAAATAAACCGATAGACAGATAAGAATTCCCACAGGAATTGCTAGCAAAAAGATCTAAGGTTGTTCTTAACAGCCTAAAAACTATGAAATCTGTAACTTATAGCATTGTCATTATTATAGGGTGCCAAAAGACAGAGAAAATAACGTTTAAGTTATCACTACCTGAAGCTTGTTCACAGCAGACCGATCTCGATAGAGAAGGACACGCATGCACTTCTCCAGCAGCTTTACAGCCTCTTCGAAAGTCAAGTTCTCATGCCACTCATCACGAAGAATAGGCCGTGCAAGGTGATTTCCAAATCCCGTAGCCACATGATTGTCCTCAAAATTTACACCTATCATGCTAACCTGAATAAAGATAAAAAGTATGACAAGCAACTAAGTCCCCTGATTCATGATGCACACAGCACACTGCAATGTGTTAAGGGAAGGATTAAATGAGGTTTACCATGCCAAGGTACTTCTGTCCATTTTTCACTCCACCGAGGACAAGAGAGTTCCACAATGGATTGAACTTGTTACGCCTATTGTACATCACACGGGTCAAATAGTTGTGCACCTCTTTAGGTCCCAAAGAGTTCCCATCATCCCACATGTTGTCATACAGGCTACAACCAGAAAATCGAAATGAATAATCCTAAACCAACTGTTTCAAATAATACAAAGAAGCATAGAAAAAATCACAATGGAAACATTATAGAAGGTAGCCAAACGCTTATCTTCATAATTTTTCTTATCAATAATGCTTACACGAGTTCATCAAGATAACGTAAGAGCTCCTGAAAGTCGCTTATTTCTCCACTTGCACCAAGAAGAGAATGCTTTCCGATTGGCTTCATTCTTTCCACACTCTTGTATCGCAGGGTAGAGCCATAAGAACCTATCAAAACATCCATTCTTTTGATACTGTTAAGAGACCTCAACAGACACATAAAAAGAACATACATGGGCGTCTAACTTTTGAGTCATGAACAATAGGATCCCCGACGCTATAAAAATATATGATGTCTATGACTGATAAAGCGATAACCATAACGTAAAAATAGGAGATACTGTAAGAAAACCTCAACAGACACATGAAAACCACATTAGGTGATCTAAAAATCCAGTCTGACCATTAAGAGCGGCCGCGGGGCGCCATACAAGAACACAAAAACTAATGTATCTAACTTTGAAAAGACTCGCATTTGAATTTTGAACTGTTTCTCCTTCAGATAAAGTGAAACAAATACGACAAGCCTACACGAACAACTCCAAAGATTTCATAACAATTTTCGCTACAAGAAGCTAAGAGAAATGGCGGAAAGAATCCCACTTTTTTCAAACACCAGAAACAATATATACTCCGCATTAACATCAAATCTTAATTTCCCGTAACCAAACAAGAAGCTAAATAAAATAATGGACCAAAAAATCAAAATCAAAACTTGTTTTTGTGACGCAAGGGTAATGGAATTGGAAGCTAACCTCCCATATCAGCAGCCATCAAAATTCCATCTTTATACTTGAGAGCCACAACAGATGTACCAGTTACATATGGGTACCTTCAATCAAACAAATTATTAAAATTTAAAAAAAAAAAAATTTAAAAAAATTAAAAACACAAATTAAAAATTAAAGGATTGAAATTTTCATACAAAAAGTTAAATCCGCAAAACCACAGTTACCCAAATCCCCATACAAACGAAAAATGCACATAAAAACTTAAAAATCAAACATTAAGAAAGCATACAGGGTCCTCTGCGAGCCTTCAGGATTGCACAGTAGGCCGGGTTTGGATTGGTTCGACTCCATTAACTACTCAAAGATAATTAGAAAGTTAAAATCAAAGTAATTAAAAAATAATCTGGGATTTGGAAATCGAAGGGTACTCGAAACTTACACTCGTTTTTGTTTTCGTAGAGCTTGAAATCGCAGCTTTTAGTTTCCAGCACCTCCGTTCTCTTGTGTTTTGCTCCGGCCTGTGATGTGGGCTTCTTTCGTAATTTTGAATGAGTTTCTGGCCAGAAAAAAAAAAGAACAAAAAAAGAGAGGGTACAAATAAAAATTTTAATTTTCTTTTCGCTCAAGAAATTGCAATCCGAATCAGTTTTAAGGTTTGGAAAGCCCATATGGAAACGCACTAAATTTTAGGCCCAAAGGTAATTAATGACCATCAGCCCAGTTCATTGAAAAAAAACGAGTCTGTTGTTTTAAAAAGTAATAATATGTGAGCCTATGCCACTCGCACTTCTGTATGAGTTTCACTTCTGTATGAGTTTCGTTCTTTTAGTCACTTGGTAATCAATGATTGAGTTTCGTTCTTTTAGGTATCGTTTGATATGCAGACGAAACGGAATGGAACATGATGGGATGGGACAGGACAGGACAGGACGGAACGGAGAATGAGCAAATATGCCCTCGGATGGAAACAAGAAGGAAGAAGAAGGAGACGGAGATGTTATAATTTTGTGTTCATTGGATGTGGAACGAGTCATTCTAGGGAGGTGAGGCGGAACGAAAATTCACCCAAGATTCGTCCCGTGGAACAGCGCGTTCCACCCGTTTTAGGCGCACCAAACGTGAGACGGAACGTCTCGTCCCACTCTGTTCCGTCCCATCCCACGTACCAAACGGTACCTTAGTCACTTGATAATCAATGATTGAGTTTCGTTCTGGTCATTCACTCTTTGACTTTAATATAAACGGTAGGAATTAAAACATTAAAAAGAACATGTCACCAGATCCATTACCGAACATCTTTCTTATGCTAAATATTTTGTTTTAAGTCATATTTGGGAAGGATTATGTTACTTAGTTCGTTTTGGTTAATCCTCGTATATACTTTCCAGTTTCGTGTTGTTTTCTTGTTTCTGGGAAGTTTCGGTTTTCCTTGACGCATAAGGATAATGGTAACTTTCTTTGTCTTTCCTAGTTGTAATAGTTCTTGAGTTTCAATCAGGATTTGGTTTTAGTTTTCCCTTTCCAGATTAGGATTTGAATTTGAGTTTCCTTGTGTAGCAAGTAAACAAGTAGTGGGTCTTTTTGAGTG